AGGTGAGGCCGTAGCCGGGAGCGTGGCTGTGCTGTGGCCAGCTGCGTGGGAATTGATGTATTTGGCGGCAATTATCTGTCTTGTGCCTTGATTTAGCGATTTGGTGTCTCCCCTCCGTGCCGACTGGGTTCTCCGCAGCCGTGCTGCTGGTGCTGTGCCTCAGAGGCAAGGCTCAGCCCTGAGGAGCGGTGAATAAGAGCTTCCCTCACGCGTTGTGTGCCTGACAAATGAGTTTCACTGTCTAGTGTTCGTGGTAGTTAACGGGACGCTTTATTTTCTTAGAGATTGAATTTGTGAATGTCTTGTCTTCCTGTCTCTGCAGCGCAGTCCTTGGGAACTATGTTCTTTGCTTTAAAAACTGGAAGCCATGTGCATGTTGCCATTGGGGAAAAAAAATAATGGAAAAACAAAATACTTTATATGACCTGCATGTTAAAGACAGATTCACGCTTTCTTTCCTTAGTCTTCGTCCCTGCTCCTTCCCCTCAGCCTTCCTGTTAGTTTGTTTTTTTTTTTTTCCTTCTGGAAGATCCAGCAAGCTGAACACAAACCAGCATCAACAGTCTTTCTCAAGAACCTCAGAAAATTCAGGACACTGTTACATTTCTGTTATTTGCTACATGGGAATTTTTTAACCTGTTTTTGAAGAACGATGCGCTCGTCACTACAGGACGTCCACTTTCCTGCCTGTGTGCCACTTCAGAGAAGTGTTCAAGTCCTGCCTAACCCCCCTCCTGCCCCGGTTCATCTTCCCGCCAGTTGCGAGCCGGCAGCGTTTGAACACTCTGGAGATCACGGGGATCTTCTCACCTCCAGGCGCAGGGATGCCGGTGGTTAGAGTCACTGCGTTTCTCGCTCAGACCTGTAGCAGCACTGCCAGCGTTGTTGGTCCCCGGGAGCTCGGCGGTGGCCTCGCAAAGGTCAGTGTGACTGTGCCGGAGTTGGGGTGGGCAGGACGCACCCGCGTGCGATGAGTGTTTCCAGGTACACTGCTTGGGGCTCCTTCCCGGTCCCGACAGAACTTGTCTAGTGTTCAGTGATTATGGCTCTGCTGTTGGAATGACCCGATCTGTGAATAGTCAGGTGGACTGTAAGAAAGATACGATGTTTTTGGTGTTTAAAAGTTTAAAAGGTTTTTTTTTTTTTCTTCTGCTTTTTTAATCTGTCTTTTATGCATGTAAGTAATCACCCTGGTTGACTGTGCTAATGGTAGGAATAGAGGGAGCCTGAGTAGAGAGCAGAAGGAATAAAAATGCTGCTTGGATAGTGAGAAATCAAGTGGCGGCTGGTTCCACGCGGGGGGTTGGCGAGGAGCGATTCCACCCCAGCACAGAGGGCGTGGGATGAGGGGAGAATCCTGCCGCCCGCTCTCGTGACCCACAGCTTTCCACCTCTTGAGTGACCCATGTCCTTCCTTGGGCGATGGAAACTCTGGCGCCTTCCCCTGGAAGTCCCTAGTTAAGGCCAGAGACTTTTCTGTCGACCTCAGAATTGTTTTTAAAGCAGATGTTTGGCTGTCGGGGGGAAGGCGCGTTCCCGGCCGGGCTGCTGGGTCTGAGGTGGGGAGGGGTGAGGTGAAAAAGCCCTTTCAGGAGACCTGGGGGGAGAGAGCAGGTACAACTGAAGATTGATATCAAGAGTAAATGATTTGTAAATGCTCCATAAAGTAATATGTGGTTAATGTAACTTGTGAAGA